TGTAGTGACCTATTTGCTTAATCCTTTTAGCACAAATGTAAGCCCCTTCCTGTTTTACACCCTCCTTTCTACATGTGCGAGCATGGGAGCTGGATCAAAGGGCAGGAACTCCATATATGACCATGAGAATTTTTCTATTTATCACTATGTCAGTCATGAAAGTACAAGTTCCTTTTGGCAGAATTCACCTATGCTGTTGGGCAAAACTGAGATCCATTGTGAGTGAGTCCAGAATATGCCCCTTTCTGTGGTGGTCTCAGCTTCTGGTAAGAAAGGCTTTAAGCATTTAAGACATGATGTTGTGGCAATGAACTTAATGAGATTTCATTCAAGCACTTACAGAAAATCAGGCACTTGCAGTGCAAGTAGCTTCTTAAGACCCTTTAATTCTGGACATATTGATATCATGGTGGCTGAGCAAAAGCAGCTTGTCCATCATTGGTGGCAGGGATATAGTTATATGTTTGTGAGAGCTATGTTGCAGTGTGGGGAGCTCATAAACCTAAGGTATTTATTATTCACACTGGTCCAGGCTGTGACACCTTCAGTCAGATTGGGGAGGAGTCAATGAGAGTAAATTAGTTACACCTGGACTACTAATTTTGGGATCCACCCCCTCTCACTGTTTATAATAAGAGAGGCTACACTTGCAAATACAATGCCAGGAATCACCATGTTTGTACTTCTGGGTAAGAACCGTCTGTCTTGATTGCTAAGTGGGAATTTTCAAGCCTTGAGCCTGTTGTTGTGAATGGGAGTCACTTTGTTGGGTGTTAAGCAGGGAGTGGAAAATACCTGGCACTTCACAATTTAGGGTGAAAATGTCACAGTTCAAAACGCAGAAAAGGTTTAAAAAAAAGAAAAGCAAGAAAGACCCTGTATCAGCCTTTCTTAGGAATGTGATACAAAGCCGATGGGAGTCTTCACACTGCTTCTGCTGGATTTAGTATCTAACTTTACTTCAGTATAATACAAACCATATATAACTCTATGCTTCCCACATTGCAAGGCTGCTCCTCTGTTTCTATAAAACTTAAAGAGCATCTGTAGAGGGGAAGCGTTGGACAACCTTTGATTAAAGGGTATTTAACCTTTCAACTGATGAAGATAGTGTGTTCAAGAGCTCTTTAAATCCACAAGGAGACATAATTGTGTGTAATTGTCTGCTTTTCCTTGTAAATGTCAGCTGTCTACCCGAGAGTCCCAGTTTACTAGCTCTTCAGTCTGCAAAGAGCCAAATGGGCATGAAGTGAATAAATACTGATATTTTGTCTGAAAGCAGACACTTGCCAGAGTCTTTGTTCTCATTGTCCCTTCCTCTGTGTGTATGTATGTAGATGTCTGTCTGTGTCTCTGGGTAAAGAGTGCTGCTTTCTCTAACTTGAAACTCTTAAATCTTTTTTTAGCAAACAGTAGGATTTTGGTACCGTACCTCCAAACAGAAAAAGCAACCCCGTCATTAGAAGCAGCAGGTAGGCCCTGGCAAGTATACTGATAAATCCAGTCATTCCTCCAAAAATCATCAGTACCAGGCTGAGAGGCAACAGGATTACAAACGTCCCATGCATGTCTGGAGAGAGATGAAGATTGCCAGTGTTTTATTATAATGTCATAGTTTTCATTACAGTAGTCCAGAAATCACTGCCAGGATCAGGGCTCCACTGTAGTGGGTGCTGTCTACAATCTAATAGACAGGACAGTCCAAGAGAGAATGAAAAGTGATGTAACACACCAGATTCTTAATTCAGGTTGAGTAGTACTTGACCCAGTGAACATACAGTACAGGAGTAGGCAAAATACGGCCCAGTTGATTTTATCCAGCCTTTGGGCAGGCAGCAGCATTGTGCAGCAGGCCCTGGGCAAGCTGCACTTGGGCCCTGGCCTCTGCTGGCAGGCAGTAAGGATGGCACCTCCTGCTCTGGCCTCTGCTGGTGCCACATGGGACACAGATGGAAGCAGCCCTACCCAACCACCACTGTGACAGCCTGGGAGATGCAGTCTGGCCCAGCCAGGGGTTGCAAACATTCTGTTGTTTGCTCTGTTACCTGCTGTGGGGAATTATATGGGCTGCTGACAATTGTGCGAGGGTCCACGATCACAAGAGGTTATGCAAGCTAAGGGACAGCCCTGAGTAAGGCAGAAGACATCTGAAGCATGCATGTGCTGGTAAGACAAATGTTGGAGTTCTCTCTAACAGTTTTATTTTACATGAAAAGTCTACACCAGAAGAAAACATCAATTCCTGTCATTCAAATAAATTTGAATTTAGATTGGAGCTTACCTGACTAGTATGAAATCTTGGTTTTACCTACCCACCTGCCCTGAATTAAAGGCCTTCTGCTAGAGGCAAACATAGTAGTAGAAGCGGACAGATTCCTTTCCTCCAAACCAGAGGCAGAGTACAGGACATTTACGGATCCCAGACCCACAGACTCTAGTATCAGCCCCCACCGGCACTGCCCTACATGTCACTTCTGCGCCTCATGGGTGCATCCACACATGCAAGTATGTGCGCTTGCAGCAGCTCAGATAGAAGCGGTACAACGTTGAGCCGGGGCTTTTTGCCTCACTGCGCATGTTCAGACAGGCACTTTGTTGTGGAGCAAATTGTGCCACCTGGGGCAAAATAAACCTGCCTGGCTCCTCCTGGATCTGCAGCTACAGGGAGCTAGAGCCTGGGGCCAGCACCTGTGCTGTCCCCAGCAGTATAAAAAGCTGCCCTGTCCTGGCCCCAGCAGTACAAAACCTGCCCTGGCAAGCAGCTCAGGTCTACTAGCTCTCCGGAGCTTCTGCAAACTAGCAGCACAGGGAACATTTTTTCATTCCTGCACCTGCCTCTTGCCCCACCTCAAAGGGGTTTGATGCAGGGCAAGAGGCACGTGCGTGCTCATCTGGATGTGCCCCTTGTGGCCAGACCAAAACCACTATGTTTTCATTAAGCAAAGGGTGGCAAAGATATAAGCAAATGGAAATAGGATGTTATAAGTGGAAGTACCTTGACTATGAGAGCAACTGAGACAAGCTCCATTTGTTTTCTTAGAAGGGATACAGCTAGTGCCTTAAATATTTATGGCATTTTCTTTTTAGTATCATAGTACTTAGGGTCAGAAGGGACCTAAACAGATCATCAGGTCTGAC